TTGAGAAAATGTTTTGGGGTTTGATATTACAAAAGGTCTTTGTGTCTGGGAGTTGATTCTCTAACCCGTACTAGTATGAGGAGACTTAGGCAGCATTCCACCCCCCCTTCTCTAAATAGTGTACTTGCTGATGTGCTCAGCTTTTGTCTGGAAGTGCTAGTGAAGGCTTCCTTTCCCTTTTTACACATGCTGGTGACAAAAAAAAAAAAAAATTTCTTTCCCCCAAGACTGTTCTTGGTAAATAAGGGATCACAAGGATTTAAGCGAATAAGCATTCTCACTGGAAGTATTCACAAAGCTGTTTTGAAAGAGCTGATGTGCTTGCAAATCATCCAGATATGGGTCAGAAACAATGGTATGTGACTGAGCTTGACCAGTAACACTTAAAAAAACCTACAGAACCGATACTTCATTCATTTAATATGTAAGGAAAATGAACAGTGCTATGGCTTTTAATTCCTCTGGAGGGTTTTTCACATGAATATGTATATGCAGGCCCTGCTGTTCCGTTTATAGATTAAGTTCTGGAAAACTGAAAGAGTTTCTTATTAACGCTGAAACTAGAAGGCAAAAGTGCAGCCATTAACTATATGTGGTTACAGGTATGTATTTTATTACATGCAGTCATTAACTTGCTTATATCTCTGAATATAGTGGTAAACAGTAGCTTTTAGCAAAGTTTTTCATCTCTATGTGACCACGTAATTTAAGACAAGGGCTCCTGGAGGCGGATGAAGGAATGACAGAGAAATGAGAAAAGCTACTCTGAGTATACATAGTCAAAATTCCCTAATCTAGACCCGCTCACATATAGGCTTCTGCATCTATGCTTCACCACAAAGTAACCAGGCTTCTCAGAGTTACGGAGCTTCTGCTGTTTTCATTGATTTATATCATTTTCAGGTACCTAAATTAGAGACTTGATTTCAGAAGGTATTATTCACAGTTTAAATGTAACGCAAAATGCAGCTAGTCAGTGTGGTTATTCTGTCTGCTTTTAAACTGTGTTCAGATGTAGAGTCAGTTGCCTAACTGGGGAATCAGAGTTTGTTTTTCACCTCTCTGTTTCACTTTCTTTGTATCAGTCAGTCAATCAGCCCAGGGTCTGCAAACACAAAACTGCTAAGTCCTTTTTTAAAAAATGTGTGTCACATAATGTGTTCTTTGAGGGTTTGAGCCTGTGCCCATTGAGGTCGATGACAAAGCTTCTATTGACTCCAGTGATACAGAATCAGGCCCTGAGGCTCAAAGAATTGGTGCATTGTTAATCCCTTGGTGCTAGCAGGCAAAAGGGGCTTGCTTGTAAATGCGTGTCCCACTGCCAGTAAGTGGATGCCAAGCAGTTAGCATTTCTTGCACCCAAAGCATATGCACTTCAAATCCATATAGGTTTTTTAGGAGTCTGAATGAATTACAGTCCCTCCCTAAAATCCCTGAGGTAACTTTTCTACCTTCAGATTAAAGCATCATTAATGAGCAACCCAAATTTTGCTGAATTAATCAGACCAAACACAATTCCAGAATATTTACGTATGGAACAGAGGTATAGTCTGCTTGTTTTATTATCTCCTCTGTCATTGATCATTTTGCAGAGTAAAGTTTTGAAACGATTAACTGCCCTGTTTCCCCATAGTACTTCACATATTTGATCGATTTCTAGTCATTTCATTCAGCCCTGACCTTGCTGTGTTACAGTCATTTCTATAGCTCCAAATCCAGTTAATCTGTGCTTAGTGTCTGAATTTATAGCTGAACAACCAAAATATTTAAATATTAACTAACCTTTGCTTGTGTCTATATTCTTTTTGGCTTCCTAAATTGTTATGGTATGATTTCAGTACTCAGCATACAAACTGTAAGGCCAGATCCTGATGTGTGTAATCCTTTATTTGGCAGAAAAATCTACTGAAGATGGAAGTACACTCTCAAAATTTGCAAGGTTATTCGGCACAATCTCCTTTTTTTCAAAAAGCAGCCTATTTAGAGAATACCTACTGATGTCTTTGAAATACTGAAAAACATTAGGCAAGGGGGAGGAGGGTTGGGGAGAATATAGACAGTTTTCTAATAATCTAAATCCAGAGGTAGGGAATATAATCATGTTTGTGTGAAACAGCTTTTCTTTCCATGCTGCTCTTGGAATAAGAGAGCTGCTTTTGTGATCAACCTACCTTTCATCTCCAAATCATTTTTTGGGCTAGCGTAAAAATCATGTACTCTACAGAACAGAAGGAGAAGCCATAGAGCTGAAATACATGCTAACCCTTACCTGAGCAGTTTTGCCCAGAGTGGAGAATCTGTTTATTGCACATTCTCACTCAGCAGTCCTGCTCACATTTTTAAGAATCCATTATGCTAGCTTTCATGCAAAAAATAGGTTTTCACTGCTCTTTTGCCTCAGTTTTTCAAAAAGAGCCAATATGGCTTGTGCATGCTTCCTATGAGCAGCTTCAACAGGACTGAAAATTTCAGAAGTCTGAGTGTGTTGATAAACCCCACTGACAAGCTTCAGGCTACAAGGACGTCACTGGGGGTGTGATTAGCAGGCAGTGGTATCACACCGAAACCACTGAAGGCCTTGTTTAGACTTTAGACTGTATTTGGTTGTGAGACTGGGAGGGGAGAGAACACAACTTGACTATCAGGGTCCCAAATGAGTTTGTAGAACTGAGAGCTTGAAAGTGCATTTTTAATCTTAAAAGGAGTATGATTGGTGCAAGTAATCAAGAGATACATAGGACTCCACAATGCTGTTTTTACAAAGCTGCTGTTAAGTATTGAATTTCTGGGTCAGTTGGAAGCATTCAACCTTCTGAATCAGAAATATATTTCCTCTTATGGGGAATAAATAAATATATGTACTGCGTGTTTTTAAGATGTGATAATCATGGCCTAATCAAAATGAAATTAGAATAGTATTTTTTCCTCCTTTTTGCATTTGTGATCTAACGACTTGGAATCCAGTCTGGCGACCACTGGTGTCAATGAGGGTTTCTTACTCACTGTGCATGGGACCAGAACTTTATCTCAAGGTTACATCTTTGTATTTCTAGGCTTAATGGGCTGATGACCTTGAGGCAGTCTGTGAACTCTGAAAAAAGCTGTTGCTTCTAAGAGTTGCCATTCATCTTCCCTTTGGCCTGAGAAGCCTAAGTGGTTTTGTATGTTCCAAAACCTCACTAATTCAGCAAAAGCCTTTTGATGAACACCAACTAAATTAAGAGAGTAGATCTTCCCCAATGAAACAATTTTAGAAATTTTAGTTATGTTTTGTCATCAAAAATGAACTCTGCTGACAGATGTGAGAAGTGCTGTCAGCTGATCTTTGCGGTTTTAGCTTACAGATATAGTTCTGAGAAAATTATTTTCATGTATCTATTTTAGAAGATCACTATCAGCTTATTTGAAATGTATCATAATGAAGGCATATGTGAGTGTAAAGTTATGGGGACTCTGCTATTTGACCAAATGACTCTATAAATATGAGAGCTCCAGGAACAATCTCTTATGAAAAACCTGGTACATATATTGCCTACAGAAAATATGCAGAAATGAGTTGACTTTTGGTTCATTATTGTGCAAAGTATGGAAAATGCATTCACTGAGAACAAGTAAAACAGTTGGATTCTGGTCTTGTTTTAAATACAAATCTCAGCATTTAATAAGTTCCCAATGTCATCTCCAATGTGAAATAGCTGGTTTGGCTTAGGCAAAGCTCATGCCGCAGTCGAGAAGGCTGTGGCCTGAGCTAAACCAGCAGAATATATCTGGAGTAGATGACCATACTCACACAGTTCTGTGCCTGTGTGGAGACATGTCCATCAAGGCCTGACATTTACTTGGGTTTGACAGTTGGTCTGCAGGGGTATTTCTCAGGCTGCTAATTGTCACCAACTTGAGTTTCTTTACATATTGACTCAGGAAGTGTTCTAGAACAATTTCTGCCTTTTCTGAATTAGTTTCATCCTGTGAATTAGTGTCACATCTGATCCTCTTTTACCCAGTCAGGCAGGGTCCCCTCCCCCAAAATTGTATGTGAACTGACCTGTTAGAGCAACATCGCTGGGCTGGTAATTATCATTTAGCTGTACACAAATTTGCCATTGCCTGCTGACTGAACAGGAGCTGAGGGGGCTCCTGGCACTCTGAGCCGTATTTTACAGCTAGCCATTGCTGTATTTACAACAATGCAGCCTGCTGAGGTGACATCTTTCAGCATTCTTCTGCAGAAAGAGACAGAGCAGGTGGAACGAAGGATCAAATGCTGAGTAGAAGTAGGTGAACTGGCAGATAGCTTCTAGTAAGAGCCCAGTGGGAGACAAATGATTCAGAAACTACAGGGTCCAGGAGCTGCAAAGCTGTAAAAACTGTGGTCATTATGGTCCAATTCATACAGAATTAGAATAATGCCCTGTTTCCTTCTTGCTTACCACAGATATTTTATTTGCTTTTCATGCTCTCAATACATTAGTAAGTTCATAAAAAAACATATTTATCCTCCAAACTGAATCCATAATCCAAACTGATGTATATAGCAAACACATGACTTCATGTGTGCCCTAAAGCCAGACTCCTAAATGAAAACTTTAGGAGTGCTGTTCTACTTAGAAGTTTAATTCAGCTCTATTGGCAAACCAGGTTCAAAGTTTATGTATATCTAGGCATAAGGGATTGTGTGGTGCTGGGTGGAATGGGGTGGCCCTAAAGCTATGAATAAGCTTGCAGTGAAAACATACCCTTTGGTGCTGCTGTCAATGGATTTCACCTTTGACAGAATAATGTTTCCCTAAAGAGTAACAGAAGCAAGTGCCTTCCAAAAGATTTCCAGCATGTCACTTTTCATATATACTTAATACTTCAAAACCTTATATTAGCACTCCAGAAATCTACAGCACCAAGGAGCCCTATTTAGCAATGCCTTTTCATTAATATATTTTTTTTTTCTTCAACGGCATAATTATGCTAGAAATAAGAAAAGCAACTGTGTATTCATGCTCCAATTTAATAGGTGCCAATACTTTGCTAAAGCACTGCAGTGGATCACTTGGAGTTAATTATTATACAAGATTACATTGCAAATAACAACAGTATGTCAAAGTAATGTGTAAGGTCTGCCTTGCAACACAAAAGTGAGAAATTTCAAAGTTAAGTCTAAAATTACACGTTTGCATTTCCTCTTTAACCCACTACCTCACACCTAAAGTATTACAGCCCCAGAGAAACCTACTGTAAGACTGGCCACCACTTAACTAACCCTTCTGATAACTGTGTACAGCTGATTAACACAAAGGTGTTAAGGACAATTCTAAATTGTCTTGCTTTTAGAGATTTAATTAACTGGTTAATCGCCATGAAAGTAATTGTGGAGTTGGATGCTGTTCAGAGTCAGTGTCATAACCTAGATACAGGAGGAAGAGCTACACCTTCTGAAAAAGTGATTTTTATGTAAACAGGTTTCCAAGTAGAACTATAACATGACCTCTCTGACACCTTTTCCCTCGCTACCACCTTATTCTTAAAAAAAAAAAACCCAACCAACCAACAACCCATGCTCTTTTATTTTATACTTTCTGATATATGAATAAATAGCTTATAAGACATTTTAAATAAAAAAATTCTAGTCCTGCCTTTCCTGTTGTTCTCTAGCCTCCTTTGCACCTCAACACTGGATATGTAGGAACAAAATAGGCTATTAGCTTTATTCAAAGACCATTGAAGTCAGCAGAATGATGCTTAATGAATGTAATGGTTTTTAGATTAAACTCCAGGCTGCTGCATCATAAGTACCAAGGAAATAGCATCTGACTCATGGAAAGGAAGGATTTGACTTGATTTACATTTATTGTTTTGCATTTGTTAAGATACATGATTTATTATCTGAGATTGAGCGTCCAGTTGTGATTTGATGTTTTAAACAGTTCTCTGTATTACCAGAAGGTCCTCCAGTAGGAATGGGGAACAATCACATTTGATATCCCTAATATTTAGAAAGCAATATAAAAGATAAAATAATTTAAGAGTAAAAAAATCTGTCAAGATTTCTTTACATTATTTGAAGCAATAAAAATCACAGTGCTTCTTTTTTCAGTTAATTTTGCACTCTTGAAACATGATTCTTCGGGGGGTATGTATATAGCTAAGCTAAATAGTAAAAAAAAAAATTAAATTCAGGATTATAGAATAATTTTTAAATGAAAGGAAATTTCTGACTAAACTTTAGTCTTAAGGGATGGCTGAAAGGATTGTGGGGTCTGCTACCTAGTTCCTAAATAATAGACATGGAATGATGAAAACAGTGAAATTAAATATATAGATCATTCACTGGTGTGCAGGCATTGATCAGAATCTTTGTGCCATGCAAAATATGGTAACTGCATTTACATTGCAGAAAAGTCACACAGAGCTCATTTATCCTACACAGTAGAATTTATTTCATTGATCCAAGGTGCGTTACGCTGGATGAGGATTTGGTGTGGTGTATTTTGAAAAGTAACACTAAGAACTGAGGGACTGCAAACAGCAGATAGATGGGCACCTCTTCCGTGACTGAGTCAGTTACACTGAGAAATCTGCTTTCAAACTTACTGAGTGTAATGGCTGTGTATACAACACAGAGCTTCAGCAGCAAAAGTAGGATGCTCTAGCAACATCAACAAAAATAGACGTTCAGTGATAGCGGTGATCTTACCCTCCTGTTAGTGCTCGAGCACTTAGTTATTATTGAGTGGTTATGAGGACACAGCAGAACTGAAAACAGGATCCTAGCAGTTTACATGTGCAAGAGCAGTTTCAAGATAAAATGATACTGAAACAACATTTAACAGAGATTATAATAAATAAGTATTCCTTTTTTTTCCTGCAAATCATCTCTGTGGACTCCTTGGGACTCACAGGCTACTTCTGAAGAGTCTGCAAAAGGTAATCACGAAGAGTAAACCTATTGTCAGTTGACTTCAATTTGCTATATAAGAACCCCTGCAGATCTACTGCAAAATGCTTAAGACTCTTCAAATTGATATAAGGTGAGAACTGCTATTACAAAACCCTTCTGCAATTGTCTTTTCACATCTTATGCCTTCTGTTGTGCTGAAAGAGCAAGCAAACAGTCAGTTTTATACTGGAATAATAGAGATCCAGCACATTGCTACAAGGTGTGACTTACAAAGCCAAACAACTTTTAATTAGGAATGGAAGTTTCACAAAGCATGAAAACACTTCTGTTAACATTGGCTATATGGTTAATATCAGATCTTTGTAAATAAGCCACTGGCTTTCTGAAGGATTTGCTTGTCTCCCAAACATGGCAGATTATCAGAACCGCATTCTGTTGTTCACGTCAATGTAAGCGTACAACCGTAGTCATCTTTGTACTCTTGGCTAATCCCACTGAAATCAATACAACAAATCATGTTAGGTGAAATTAATCTCTGTGCAGATGGACAATGCAAGTCCTTCACAATATGACAAAATATGATTTGAAGACTCTGTATTAGATCTTTTCGTATACAGGGATCAAAATCTCCAGCCTATGGGTTAGACTGGGATGTTGCAGTATCACTCTCTTCCAGTGATTTTTCTCTACTGACTTCTGAGATGCTGGAGTGTTCTGTAAATTCCCTATATTGACAGTTTGCTAGCATCCTTGGTGTTTTTCTTCCTTTTATTATCTTGTTAGACCTTGAGATGCTGTTGGAATTGGGTGGTAGGTTCGGTAGGTCTCTAAGTGAGAGGGAAAAAAAAAAGGTCTTAAAGTACCAGAGCTGCTCATTCTTACCATGTATGCTATATACGCCTCTTTCTTCTATGGAAATGCCTTCTTATCATGGGAAGGTGCATGAGGAAATCTTTTCACATTCAAGGTGATGTTTCTTGGATAGTGACAAAGCAAAGGAGACAAACACTTCCAGACAATATATTCCCCAGGGCTAAGGGTGACACAGCTTGAAGTTCCTTTTCTGTCTGATGTCCTTCCCATATTAACTAATAGCTTATTTATATGAACTGAATGAACTCTAAAAAAAGAAAGTGAGTCGATTCCATATGCTAGTCCTGCAAAGGCTCACTCCAGAAGTAGAACACGTTCTAGGAGAGAATTGAATGTCAGTTTTCGGCATAAGTCTTAAAACTTTGTAACTACCAGGCTGCTGCCTTATGGGAGGGTAGGAATCTCTGTCTGATCAAGGGGAACAGAACAAATCTGAAATCCTTAAAACTTCAGTGAAAAATGTAAATTCTTTTTGTCTAAATGTCCATTTCTAAGAATCTATGTGCTGTTTTCCAAAGATGTTTTCATTAAAAGGCACTACTGTAGATTTGAACTGAGATGAGGGAAGTTATGGTAACATACAAACACACACTGGAAGAAAGAAAGACTTTTGATTGGCAATCATTTGAAGTGATTATTTACTACTTAGAGCTGAAAGAGACTATCTTTAAGTAGAATATAGTTAAGTAATTATATATGGAAATTAAATATTCAGTGGTCAGATCCTGCACAGTGGAAGTGGGTATGAACTGGATAGAACTCCCAAGATTGCTTGAAAACTGTATTCATAGGTGTAAAACAAAAAGAGAGGATTCACCTTCTTAACAGTATATAGGGGATACCATTACTTTTTAATTTGATTTACTGTTTCCTTAAGTAATAAATATAGATGAGCACAGCAAAAAGTACAGGTTTAAATAAGAACTGCAGGGCTGTGTTATGCCAGCAGTGCCTAGTGTACAGTTAATCAGAAAGCAGAAGTTACTATAAATTGTTTCTGACATTACAGGACTATAATAACACTACATTTCCACCAGCCCCGGTAGCTCTTAAGAAGAATTAGAAGTATGTATCCTGAAGATACCACAAACCCAAGAAAAATTAAGACATTTGTACATGCTGACTGTTTCCACATTTGTGTCTTAGTTGTGCAGCTGTAATATATATAGGTTATTACTGTAACAGTCCATGTTCAGTTCTGATAAAAGTTGCTCCGTGAATTTGCTTCGGCTACCTAAAGTTGAATTAGACTCCAGTAATGGAGTAATGGACTTCTATTTATCGACAACTTTCTTCTTTGACCCCGTTCCTATACAAATCTTGATCATCCTTCTATATACTAGAACATATTCCTATGAGCCAGACTGCATTATTCTGCCAGGATGTACTGGGTAAAATCCTGGGTTCGATGATGGGGGTAATAAACCTACCATACATGGCTGTGATCCCAGGATTTCACCTGTTAACTGTTCTTAGAAAAAATGAGTAACAACAAATCAATGATTTGGATAGTCTCCTATCCTTTCTCTAATGCTGACCAGTACAAAAAATTCCAGGGAATGTCAGACATGCTGGGAACTCTCATTATGCATAAGAAGAATAGGTCTTTCTTGAGGCATCCAGGAGCTACCTTTTTCCCATGAATTCTGAATATGCATTTACTCTGCTGATTCACATAAAATTTGAAACTTTAAAAAACAATTATTTTTGCCAAGATTACTGTGTAGAAGACAGCTTTATAGATTAGCTGTAAACTGCGTAGCAGAATATTTCTGTTAAACTGTCTCTTGTCTGCTACCTTTTAATTTCATTTTATGTCTTGTTATTGCACGGTAATGAAAAGTAAACAGGAGAGATTCAATAGTTTGTTCTATGCCCACTCATAATATAATCAAACCTTAACTAGATGTCCTTTTGACCTGTTGTCCAAAATGTATGAAGCCATAATGTCTGTACTCATTTTCCCTGTTTTGACACTGTACTTTCTCCTTGACTCCTGCTATCTGTAGTTTCATCTTCTCCCTGAATCTCTTTTAATCTTTGCTTCTGTCTCTCCCCACTATCCACTCTACCTGTTCACTGCCTATTGGAGAATTAATCATTTTAGCTAATCAAAATGCTGACATTAATGTAAAGTTCAGTTAATTGCATGTCCTTTGTTTTTATGAAGAAATAACCAGTTTAAAACAAACAAAAAAAAGGCTGTAAGACACAATTGGTAGTACATTTATTGGCAATTATAACCTGATTTGATTGGTATTGGGAGAAGCACAATGATTTCTAGAAACTCGCTGCCTGAGCTTCTCTCTTGCAATCAGGAATAACAAAAGTGATAAAGTCAGCTTAGTGCAATTAGGATGAAGCTTGAGCCACAGAGTCTTGGTGTAGATTTTGCCGTGACTTTATTCTAACACTATGGGTTTAGCCTAGTAATGTCAGAAAGCCCAGTGAGAACGCCGTGTCCCATATTCCATCGCATTTTTCTAATCCACTATTAGATAATACAACGAGAACACATTAGCTAATTATAAATCATTACCTCCTCCTGCTCAGGTAGATAGTACTCAGAATCCCCTCGTGTCCCAGAACACTATAAATCATCTAAACATGAAGCTCTGATTATCCTGCAAAATCTTGGTTGTATTTAGTTTGAGAAAGCATCTGGTATGACATCAGTTACCATGGAACTCATTAACTCGAGTCACTTAGCATCCCTAGCAAAGTATATAAACTCTTTGCATGGCATTAATATCCACATAAAGCCAAATAATTTCCTACCATTTTGTCCTAGGACACACTGGGTTTGCTGTAAGAAAGATAAACTGGGATGGGGTCTCTTTGGGTTTCTCCAAAACCTGTATGGGACAGCTGTGGTAGCATGCAGATCATACCAAGAGACTAATTGCCTAAGCAAAAAAGCAAAGTGCATATTGAAAATGCTAATAATAATAACAACACATGTATATTAAGGGATTCAAGAGGAAAAATGTGGGTGATAATGAAAATTTATTTCTCTCTTAGCACAAATATATTTTGGATTATAACAAGTCTCTCCATTTTGAGATGAGGCTGTGAAGCACCATTTTGTTTGAGATGAGGTATCCACCCTACTGGCTGTGTATGAAAATGAGATTCTGACACATGCCACCTTCATTCACGGCTATTTTGTCTCTTCCTTTGTTCTAACATCTACAATGTTAAACATAATTTCTTTCTTAATTTTTTCAGTACCTCACCAGCTGTCAGTGTGGCAGGTGGCAGTCAGCCTGGAATACACAGCTGCAAGGATGGAGAGAACTTTGTGAGAGCAAGTGAACTTGAAGGAAGGAAGGCCACTAGGAAAGGAAACAAAAAAAAAGGACAGCAGGGCAGGACTGTGTGGAGAATGTGTTAGAAAGGGGCTGGAGGTGGGTAGAATGGGGAAAGAGAAGTCATTTGCAACCAGAAAGAGAAATTATTTGCCTATAATTACATGCTTCTCACAACTATCTTGAATGTCTAAACTTCACGTACCTGTAGCTTTCGGATCCGCTATGCTTACCAAAAGACATCCACGAGACAAGCGCTGGTCTACATTGATGCTGGACTGTTGCTCGTGATCTTAATTCTGTGTCTGAAATTTCCTGCCTAGGTGAGCTGGGCTAGTTGCTTGCCTTGATTTTTAAGTTTTTACATCTGAAAGAGAAGAATACAATTGTGCTTCATGGGGATGTTTACAGTAATTAATATGTAATATTTGCAGAGTGCTTTGAGCTTGAAGAGTGCTATAAAGATGGACTTTATACCCCACCTATCCATACAGATAACCATTTCTTTAAATAGAGAAAGAAAGTGATAACTGCCATCCCAATCTAAACAGGGAACATTACCAGCCACCCCACAGCCCGATCCCTACCTCTGTCTGAACTGGAACAGACTCCCTTCTTCTGGGCCCGATTTTCATAAAGGAACACCCAACATGTAGCAACAAATGCATGTATCTAGGAGTAAGCAGGAGTCACATATATGCTGCCAAAGGCATATATTATGCTTCTGCATCATGAATGTGATGCCCTGTTCTTCACCTGTGCCTTTGGATTCCTTCAGGAGTAGTTTTTCGAATCTCTGATGTTATTTGTTAGCATATGTGCAGTAATCTGCCACCATCTTGCATCCCGAGTAACATGAGTAGCATCTTACATCTTGAATACTTGCAGTGACACCGGTTGATTATTTCGCAAATGCAAAGCCAACTGCATTTGGTATTAATCCTAAATCAGCTGAATGTAGACCCAAAGAACACCAGGGCCTGAGATTAAGAAAGAAGAAAGCAGAGGAGGACTAAGGGAAAGTGACCTGCTGAAATCAGAGGAAAAGCTAACATTAAGCAAAGAACAGTCTTCCCTGAGCCTATGAGATGGACTAGGTGACCTAGTATTTCTTTTCCATCTCCATTTTGCACAGTGTTGCGAGCCTCAAAGCAGCAAGAGCTGCAGGATCCTCACAGCGAGGTGTCAAGACACACAACAGCTGCCCGTGGATGTGCAGGCCAGGGGCACGGGCGCGGGCCCAGCCAGGAGGCGGGTGGCTGGGGTGCGGGCACCCACCTGGCTGCTCCCCTGCGGGGGGGCCCTGCCCGGGGCTGGGGCAACACGGCATGGGACAGAGACATTCCCTGTCTTTTTCCAGCGTAAGCGATGAAACAGGGAGACTTTGTTGGATTTCCTTCCTTTAGAGGAGGCTGGGGAGGACCTACTATTCCCTTCTGCGGGATAACCTCGTCTTTCTTCACTTCGTGGC